ATATATATATATATATTATAATTCTAAAATTATTTTGAAAATTTATAGTTTTCTTTTGACTTTTGAGCCGATTAAGACAAATTTATACAAATATTATATATACAAACTTCCTAGCCAAGAGCTCTTTATTAATAGTCGAAATTCTCAACTAATAAATCAAAATGAGTTGCATTAAAATCCTATTTAATATAATAATTGCTATTTGTTTTATTTTTTGGCATGTGCGATAAGATTAATGACTGTAGGGTTGCCATCAAATTTAATATTACAAATCTAGGCTTCAGTAGCCATTGGAGTTATTTGCATTTTTTTTTTTTTTTTTTTTTTTTTGCTACAATAAAAAACACAATTTATATTAGTCAATGCATTAATGTATAATATATCTTGTACCATTGTAATTGATTAACTAATTATATGTTATTGGAAAGAGTAAAGAAATCTTTAATTTATAGTGCCATTTACACCTCACGTTGATTAGGTAAAGAAGTAGTGGCAATACATCACTTATGACTACATCCACAAATATGCATATATTAGGAATAAAATTCCTCAAGAAAATTCATGTGGATAGAAATTCTGTCGCTTCATATTTGAGCCTAAAGTCATACGGACAGAAGCCTATGAAATAACATTAGAAGAGCGTCATAATCTAGAGAAATTATTATGTGTGGAGTCCTGATGTAGTTTCCATCCGGATTCCAATCAAATAGGTCATATCAGTCGGTACGCACATTGTGTATTGTACACAGTGTACAAGCGACTTGATCGAATCTGATTTGAGTCCTGATGGAAGCTACATTTGGACCCCGCACGTAATAATTTCTGTAGGATCTATGCGAGAGGACTTGTTAAGGTGACATTGAATGGCTATGTGGAGTGTAATTTTTTCAATTAAGATCTCTCTCTCTCTCTATATATATATATATATAGTAGAGATTATTTGCAACTTCTTTTTTTTGCGACAATAAAAAGCACAATGTATATTTGTCAATGCATTAATGTGTCACAAAATATTTGAGACCAACAAAATAACGACTAGCTCTATGACACTATAACCGGTCACTAATTAGTGGCTGCAATGAGATTTGTGAGAGGTTAACCCATTGTAAACATGTTATATTCCAATAGTGGCACTTTATGAAATCCTTTCACCAAGAATGCTTTTGAGATGAAAGATATTGGTTTAGAAATCAAAGAATAAAACCTCAAACTAAACAATAAAACTATGAATAAATATGTTAAGGTACTTAAATGTTAAAAGAATTGCCTATAATCAAGAGAAGTTGATACTTCACTAAAAATCATCTTGACAAAGCTTGAGGTATGTTTGTGGGCTCCAAAAATTCTGCCCGGACCTCCTCCACTGCTTTTTTCAGAGACTTTTAACAGATTTAGTTATGGGGTAAATTTTGGGAAGGCATATGAGTTTGTATATAAAACACTACCCAGTTATTTCGCCCTCATTTTACGAGGACTTTATGATCTGAGTTTTGATTTATTATAGGCGCAAGCCCCTATAGTTAATTACCCCTCCCGATAACGAGAGTGAACTTTCGATTAAGGCTAGTTATTGATCAGATATGTAGAGAATACACATCTGGCATATAGTACCATATGGGCTTGGGTTTAAAAGCTTGGAAGATTTGATATTTAAAATTAGAAATTTCATCATCTTTCACTTAAAGCGGATGTTGGGGGAATGGATGATAGACCTGATCAAGATCTCATGGTTCCATCGTCCCGGACCATAATGGTCCCTACTCTACTTAGTCAAAGGAGGTAGTCGAACCAACTTGACAGAATGCTCCTTGTCGTCAGCCATTGATTGTTTCGTCCAAGGGGACCTTATAGACCTGAGGTGGGTGTTTGTCTAAGGGAATAAATTTGAATCCACCTTAGCTAACAAATGACTTTGTGCACTATCTATCATATCCTATTTATTCATATTTCAAAGATTTGATGTCATTAAGGAACGTATTTGCTCTAGCCATAACCGTCATCTTGTGGTGTCATTTGGTGACAGAACCACTTAGTTCAGAGGGCCAAGGGTCATAACCGTTTATCCTGTAGTGTTATTTGACATCAAAACTATTGATTAGAAGACACGTATCACATCCTTACTAGCAAGAGATTATTTGAGAATAGATCTTAGTGATATTTTTTATTAAGAAGTATCTCTATATGAGCTGAAATAAATTTCAATTTATCCACCATATCAAATTGTTATGGATGGTGGATGAATTTTGGTTTTAAATATTTGGATGATTGAATTTCTATTTTAAATATTTTTTTAATTTTGAAATTTTGGAGTTTTGATTTTTGGATGGGTATTTGGGAACTTAGAGGTATTTGAAATATTTGGATTTAACCCCTTCGGTTGAGATAGGCATTCAACATGGCCATCATCGGGGTGTACAAGCATTTTTATTGACTAAACATTGTTAACCCTATCAACTTGCCGATAGAGGATCGGGTTCATCAGTTATATGTTTTTGCTGATGAATTTCTTTTGTCATAGATCTTGAAGGCCTTATATGAACATATAAAACAGATATTTTGGTCAATACCCTGATCGTATATTTATTTGATAGTTTGAGCCATATCGACTTCTATCTGCCAAAATATAAGGATCGGGTTCGAACTTGGGTTTATTTATATACCAACGTAGCATCCCTAGACATCATGTATATACTTGTAACACTCTCGTCGGGGCCCGTGCGGGTGTATTATACACCCCCTTCTATGTACCTATGTGTATAAATATTATAGTGCATGTACTGGGAATTTTTGTATATATTTAATGAATCTTCTATAACAGATTATGAGAAGCTCAAACATGTTGTAGTCTTCTTGGTTAAACTGGGGTTTACTCACCCCATCTTGATTTGATATGGCTTTCTCTTCCCATAACTTGTATGGGAATCAACAAGCAACTCCCTAATTATTCAATCATCATTATTTTCTATTGTTGGCTTAAATAAAGAATCAATCATTTCAACCTTGAGTGATTTCATCTTTATTGATGGCCTATACATCGAAATAAATGGTTATTGCCTCAAGCGGACATTGTGGCAATTAAAAGCGCATTAGATCGTATAGAAAAGTATGCAAAATATTCATTCCTAAAATGATTATTGCAACCCTTGATGTAATTGGAATAGCGGGTGCATTTTTCACTCGTAATTATGAGTTTGGGCTACCCAGCTTTGCATTAATCTTTAATAGCACATTCGTCAAATATTGATCATTAACTTTACTGGGCACATTACGTAGCGAAAGTCACCTATGAAAAATAATGGAATGCCTCATCCGTTAGAAATTAGAATAAGGGAGGAGAAAGAAAAAGGAAAGGCCAAAAAAATTATAGCTTCGGTACAAGAGGAGGGGCGCTGAGTTAAGTAGGGAAAGTCACCTACATAAAACAGCGGAATGTCTCGATTGTAAGAAGATAGTCAGATGAGAAGTCGATGGAAGGAGAAAAAATGTTTCTTATATATTGAAGAGGAGCGCTAAATTTGAGTAGGAAAAATCACCTACGAAAGTTAGCGGAAAACCTCTAGATTAGGAAGAAAAATGGGGGAGAAAGAATTAAAAATGAGAGAAAATTCTAACTTCTATACAATAGGAGGGGCTCTGAATCAAGTAGGGAAAATCACTTACTGAAAAACAGCATAAAGCCTCTGAAATTACAAGATCGCCAAGGGGGGGGCAAGAGTTTTAAAATCTTTTGTGTTTTTAAATTTTTAACAAGAAAATTTTAACTAATATGAAAGCAATTAATTGGACTCAACATGCAACAATGAAATTCTTTTTCTTTCACAATTATCATCAAGCAAATATAATGAAAATAAAGTGCAAACAAAAATAAAAAGCGATAAGAAAAAAAGCACACCATAATTTTATAGTGGTTCGGTCAAACCATGACCTACGTACACTCCCCGGAGTCCTCCACTCCGGGAATTCCACTAAAAACTATAGTTCTCCTTTTGCCCCCTTGGCAAGGCGGAGAAGCCCTCACAAAACTCACTTTCACCAACCCGACGTAGCGGAGTGCCAAGCACTTTTCTCACCCTCCTGGCGAGGGCAGCGTACCTTCTCATTTTTCTCCCTCATGGAGAAGGCAGAGTACCTTCGAGATCACTGATGTAGAAGAGTCTCCCCATCAGAGAGCCTCGATCCCATAAGTTCTTCTCAGGCAACAGGAGAAGCAAAATGCAGCAAGAATGGAGCAACCATGTGATCTCCCTCACACTACTTCTCCCTCACCAAGCTCACCCTCTCATTCCACTCTCAAATCCTAAAACTTTTCAGGAGCTCTCTCCCAAGGATTCCCTCTCTAATCACGTTCTCCTCTTTCTATTACTTATAAAAAACATTACTTTTTTTATACTTAAAACAGGCTCCAAAATTCCTGAAATTTTTAAAATAGCCATTAATATCGTACAATATGATATTACATCGTACAATACGATATGTGTAACAGTCTTCGTCTTGGTACTAAGGTTTACGAATAGTTCAAAATTAGTCATACAGTACGATAAAACATCATACAGTACGAGGCTTCACTCTTTTGTTTGTACAGGACGATAGCTGGGATGATCAAAACAATCTCTGTTCATCGTCGGGTACGATCAACTTCGCACAGTACGATTAGGCCAAATAAAGGGATCATCCTGGACGATCAAAATCAGCCTCTATTCATCGTATAGTACAAACAGGTTCATACATTACAATGACCAATCAGAGATTTGTCCTTAATTTATTCCAGTAATCACGTGTTAATTTAAGTAACTATTCAAATAAAATCGTACAATACGAACATAGTCGTACAGTACGAGCGGCTAATAGAACTTACTTAAACTAATCTGGTGGCGACTAGGGTTTTTGATTTGCAACACATTGTACAGTACGATCTTGTTCGTACTGTACGATTAGTTCACAGAAAATTATTTTACAGGATCAGATCGTACAGTATGATATAAAGTCGTACAATACGATCAACAGAGAAAAATCTTCATTTTTATTTCTTTTAAAAAACCCTCTTCTCCTGTGTGTGTGGTTGCTCAAACTTACATGCAGTTTGTGGCCAGACTCAAGAAAAGAAAAAAAATAAAATAAAGAGAAAATTACATTGTTTTAGACTCACACTCCTACTCTACGCAGTCTTGAGTCTTCCTGTTGTCCTGAGTAATTTTTGATATTCCTGAAATGTTAGTACTCACAAACAATAGCATAAATCAAAGGATATTTAATGAATAGATATTTAGACGATATTATTTGTCATCATCAAAAAAAAAAAGATAGTATTTGTCATCATCAAAAGCTCAAACTAGGGGTCATGGATTGCAACAATCTCCCCCTTTTTGATGATGTCAAATAATGTTTGTTATAGGCAAGTTTGAATGGCATTTTTTTGTTTGTTTTTTATTTTGTTTCTTTTTTTCTCTTTTTTTTATATTAAAAAGAAACAATATGAAATAGACAAGAAAAGAAAAGAAATGAATTCTATTGAAACATAAGGAAACATAAGCATAAGCAAACTACAACAAACACTTTTCTCCCTTTTGTCAGCACCAAAAAGAGGAGCAAACAACACAAAAAAATACATATACACTTCAACAAGGATGATCCTGATCACTTGGAGGTGGAGGTGGGTGTGGCAGAAAATATTGAAGGATTGTGTCAAAACGGTGATCAATCGAAGTTAAGCATTCCCCAAACCATTACATGTCGTCATTGTGTTGCTGAAGTTGTTCTTTTATATGTGTGTCAAGACGAGTCTGAAGTTTATCGAAGCGTTTGACCAAGACATCGTGAGGATAGGCTGGTGCAGGTACGCAGGGTGCTGCTTGCCGTCACAGTCGAGCAGGAGCTCGTCACCAGATTTCTACCCGACACCGGACTTCTGTCTGTTGTTGGACTTTCGCCGGACATTTCTCCTGTGCTGGATTTCTGTCCATTGCTGGACTTCTACCTAACGCTATCCTTCTGACCTCTATCATCATACAACGGTCCTTCCGACCTCCGTCGCTCGCCGACTACGGTCCTTTAATTTGACGTACGTCGTCCACCGACTACAGTCCTTCCGACCTCTGTCGCCCGCCAACTATGTTCCTTCCAACTTACGTCGCCCACCGACTACGATCCTTCCGACCTTCGTCGCCCGCCGACTACGGTCCTTCTGACTAGGGCTGCAACCGAACCAAACGTTCGTTGAGCTACTCGTTGCTCTGTTTGATTAAAGCTCGTTTGTGATCGTTTAACTAACTAAACAAATAAACTTGAACAATATTTTTAATACTCAATTCTTAAATATACAAGCTTGAACACTAATGTGTTCGGTTCAATTATGTTCATAAACAACATCATTTGAAGCTCGTGAACAAGCTCGACATTGAGCTTGATAAGAAGCTCGATTCGTGTTCGATTTAGAACTCGTGAATAAGCTCAATCAATATACTCATATAGATTAATCATATTTTCATTTTAAATAGCCAACTGCTTTATTATAAATTTAATGTAATTTTATTTTATTCCTTCAATAGAATGAATTTGCAATGTTTGATGGATTGTTTGTTTAAGATGTTCATGAATAAATATAAATATAAAATGAATCATAGATCCTTTGTTTTTGAACAAGCTCCTTTGGTAGCTCAAAAATACTAGTTATGTATTTATTCATGATCTTGCTCATTTGATAGCTCAAGAATACTCATTAAAAATGTCAATAAACGTGCTTGTTTGATAGTGTAAAAATATTCGCTAAATATGTTCATGAACATAGCTCGTTAAGGCTTGTTTGTTTAAAGCTTGATAAGCACTAAACGACCGAACATGAACACAATTAATTTAAACGAACCAAACATTAACACAAACAATAAGGCTCGAATCAAACACGAACCGAACTTGAAAATTATAAACGAACTCAAAGATGAACACTCACATACTCGGCTCGGTTCGGTTCGTTTGCAGCCCTACTTCTGACTTATGCCGCCCACCGACTACAGTTCACCCGACCAAACAAACACATCAACAATGATTCTTTGTATTCACATTATGTAATATACTCTATAAGATGTACATCAAGCTAAGGCCTTCCCCCAAGGAAGGGACTCATTTGTAATCGACTACGAATAATAGTGGATTCATTCAAACTGGGCTAGTCCCCGTGGTTTTTCCCCCTTTTTAAGGGTTTTCCACGTAAAAATATTGGTCTCTCATAAATGCTACACCCTCTCTTTTTATCTGTGTCCGTGCTGGATTTTCGTACAACGCTAAGACGCTAAATTTTATATTTCTCTACCGCCGTGAATACTCTTGTACGCAACAAGCTTATTAGAATAAATAATTTTAACATAATTAATTCCCTTGTCCATGAGACTTTATTAAGAATAAATGATCTAAAGTGCGAAAGATCAGGGACGAAAGTGTGAGGAAGGAAATAAAAAAAATTATTACTTATTGCAATTATATTTTTTATCTGGAACTGACTTAGTTAACGATAAATTAAAAAAACGAGGGTATTTTAAATATTAAAACTTAAAGTCCACGGTGCTCTAACCGGCGACACAGTCAATTTAGACGGAATCAACAGTGAACTTTCAACATTTCTCTCATTCTCAACGCCTCAAAATCAGCTGTCAAAAATGTCGCCTTTATCTCTCCGTTCCCCTGACGCAGAGAAGTTTCACTTATCGCCCGACTTTAGAGACCACGACTGCTCTTATTCTCTGCAACTCATCCTATATAAGGAAGACATAAATCCATGGCCTTTCAAACCATCACACCCAAGTGGCAACTTAAAAGAATAAGAAGAAGAAGATAGAACAAATGGGTACCGCCCTTTCTTCTGCAATTTGCTTCCACAGCTTGCAAGAGGTTTTTTAATGTTGTTCTGTTTGCCTGATCTAATATACAGATATGTTCTTTATTCTCGCAGAATCCATCATATTTGATCGAAGGATGACCAATTCTTCAAGCAATTTAACGCCTACTGTGATGCCTTTTCCTGTGTCGGATGAGTTGCTCGGCACCTTTGTGCCTATTGCTGTTTATTGGATATACTCAGGCATCTATGTGATGCTCGGTGATTTGAACCAATACAGGCTTCACACCAAGGCTGAAGAGGACAAAAAGAACGTTGTTTCAAAGAGAACCGTTGTGAAGGGCGTCCTCATCCAGCAAGCTTTCCAAATTGCTGTCTCCCTCCTCCTCTTCACGGTATGTACGGTCTTCTTTAATTCACTTACAACTAATTAACACCTACAGCTGCTTAATTGCTAATTGATTTTCCTTCATACATATATTGATGCAGTTCATGAGCGGTGACAGCGGCGTTGTCCTGCTTCAGCCTTCTCTTCCGGTGATCGTCCTCCAATTCATGGTGGCCATGGTGGTGATGGACACGTGGCAATACTTTATGCACCGATTCATGCACATCAACAAGTTCCTGTACAAACACATCCACTCCAAACACCACACGCTGGTCGTCCCCTATGCTTTTGGAGCTCTCTACAACCATCCACTGGAAGGGCTAATTCTTGACACAATTGGGGGAGCTCTCTCCTTTCTGATTTCAGGGATGACACCTCGAACCGCCATATTCTTCTTCTCTTTTGCCACCATCAAAACTGTTGACGACCATTGCGGTCTCTGGCTTCCCGGAAACTTGTTACATGTTTTCTTCAACAACAACAGTGCGTATCACGACATCCACCACCAGCTCTATGGCACAAAGTACAACTTCTCTCAGCCATTCTTTATCACTTGGGATAAGATCCTTGGAACTCACATGCCTTTCTCGCTTGAGAAGAGAAAGGAGGGAGGATTCGAGGCCCGACCAATTAAGAAGATTAATTGATTCTTTCAGGAATTGTTGCCTGATATATATATGAATGCATACCCAAATCCATTATCATGTATTATATACTTTGTTTTGTTTTCGATATTAACATAGATATTTTCCCAACAAAAAGTGACTTAGAGCAATGCACATCGATATAAATCATTCCAGAAAACAAAACCTGATGAATGTTATATGAGGACATAAAAAATAAATTTGAATGCATGAGAACATTAAAAAATATTGAAGGAAGACATTATACACCTAAATTATACTTGTTGAATGTTAGATGAGGCTCTTTAATTTGGAGTATTTTATGATGACCCTTCATGATAGATTTATTCAACATTTAATGAAACTTCAGTTCATCTTTCCGGATAAAACTACTATAAATATTAGTAGCAAGGCCTCTTGAGAACCATGGTCAATCTACATGTGGGCTCCTAAAATTTACGCTCTGGCCTCCCCTCTATTTTTGGGGGAGTTTTAACCGATTAAGTTATGGGGTAAATTTTGGAAAGGCAGGTTGGGTTTGTAGATAAAACACTACACAGAGATTTCACCCTCATTTCGCAAGGACTTTATGATATGAGCTCTTGTTTCCTATAGGCGCAAGCCCATATAGTTAATTGCCCCTCCCGATAACGAGAGACAACTTTCGATTAAGGCTAGTTATCAATCAAATATGTATAAATACGTGTTATCTGGCATATAGTAGCAACATGGGTGGTATTGAAAATTTAATACTTAAAATAGAAATTTAACCACCTTACACTTAAAGTGGATGGCGAGGGAATGGATGATGGACCCGATCAAGATCTCATAATTCTGTCGTCCCGGGCCATCGTGGTCCCTGGTCTACTTAGTCACAACCTGACAGAAGAATTCTTGTCGGCAAACATGGGTTGTGTCGTACAAGGGAATCTTGTAGACCTAGGGTGCATGTCTATCAAAGGGGTAAAATTTGAATCCACCTTAGCTAACAAATGGCTTTATGCCCTATCGATTATATCTTATTGATCATATCTCAATGATTTGATATCATTGGGGAGCATACAGGCAATGGCCATGACCATAATTTAGTTGTGCCATTTGGTGGCAAACCACCAGGTTCGGAGGGCCCCGGTCATAACCGTTAACCTGCGGTGTCATTTTGAGGCAAAATTGTCAGTTAGATGATGTGTCACGTCCTTACTGGCAATAGATTGTTTGAGAATGAATCTTAGTGATATTATTGATCATACATTAGTTCTTTATGAGCTGAAGTACTTTTCAATTTATGTATATCAGCAAACTATTGAAAGGGTGAATAAATTTTGTTTTAAGTGTTCGATGGCTTAATCCAATTTTAAATATTTCAAAATTTTCTCCTTTCTTTTGTTATGCATTCTTCGTTGTTGTTAGACTGCGAGCACGATGATGGGGTTTAGGGATTATAATCCAGTGTTTTTATTTTTATTATTTTTTATTTTTATTTTTATGTTTTGGATGCTATATGTAAAAAATTAAAAATTTTATTCTAAATATGTACATGTGACAAGTAAATGTTTTGAATGTTATACATGTAGTCATGTAGTATACATATGATAAGAAAAATAAAAAGGTTATAATAAAAAAATGCATGTACATGTTAAATGATAGAGCTCACCTCCTTATAATTTTGGCTAGGGATGTTCATATATGGGCGTAAAATGATTTTCATGTTCTTAGATTTGGAAAAGGTTTGGAAACAATTATGCATTATTAAGTTGTACAAATTTAGATGGTGCCCTTATGATGGAAATATTTAATTAAAATATAATATATGCTAGTATATGATAAGATTATTTTCAAAGAGCAAGTTATCAAATAATAATATTATTTTCTCTTCTTGAACAATACTGCAAAGGTGTCTGTTTTAAACTCTTATTAAGATGAGATGTTAATGTTTATTTGAGATGACCTATATACATAAATGATTAAGACATAATGTTCATATGGAATAAAGGTTTATATATAAAATGTATTTGGTTCATGCTTATATTTATATCTAATCAAAGGCATAAATTGTGCTCTGTTGCTCAATGGTGATAACCCACTAGTATATATGCTTAAACTTTAGTATTAGGCACTTCGATTATAGAGGGCCTGATTGCAGCACTTACACATCAAAAATAAGGCTGTAAACCCTAAACCTTTCCTAAATTTCTGCATTTCTTGTTTGATGGAATATGTCCACATTTTTAATAATAACCTAGTTGTGGCATGATTAATGCTGTAAGTCAGTCTTGGTTGTAAACAGCAATGGAACACCTGTCAATTTATCGAAAAATTATTAGGTCCGGACATCGGACGTAGAGATACGTCCGGACTCCAATAAAATACTGACATGTGGATGTACACATGTCCGCAGAATTTTAAATCAACCGCACCAAAAGCACAAGTAAAGCGCAGATAAAGCACAGTTAAAGCGCAGCCAAAAAACGCAATCAAAGTGCAATAAAAAAACACAATCAAAGTGCAGTCAAAGCGCAGTTAAAGCGCAGTCAAAGCACGGTCAAAAAGCACGTCAAAGCGCGGCAAATTATTGCATCCGGTCACCAGACGCGGAGATAGGTCCAGATATTAATAAAATATTATTTTAAATTAAACGCGTCAAAAGAGTAGGTAAAGAGCAGGTAAAGTGCAAGTAAAGCGCAGGTCAAAGCGCAGTCAAAAGTGTAGGTAAAGCGCAGTCAAAAGCACAGATGACGTGGCAAATTTTTATTGGATGTCCAAACCTATTCTCCGCATCCGGTGACCGGATGCAATAATTTGCCGTCAAAGCATAGTCCACATGTCAAATTTTAATTGAATATCCAAACTTATTTTTAGGTCCGGTGTCCGGACCTAATAATTTTTCCAATTTATCATTCATGAACTCTGCTAGGCTTTCACTCTGGCACAATAACAACCTTAAATCACAAATGCTTCTATACAAAAATAGTGTCAGATACATTAACTTATTGCTCAGAGAGCAGTCTAGATATAAATTGAATTGAAGAAATCTTCATTATCATTAAGTTCAATTAAAGAACACCTTATAATTCAACAAACCATTATGACAAAGTAGGAATGAATGTTGAAGTAGCTACGTGATACCTCATGAACATACACTGGAAACAAAAAGGAAGATAATATAAGCCAAAGCAAAGTCATCTAACACTAGAGTTCTCCCCGGCCACCAACTGACGTCCGACTTCTACCCGACGCTGGACCTCAACTTGTCACCATATTTCTACCCGACATCGAACTTCTGCCCGTTGTTGAACTTTCGCCGGACATCTATCCGGTGTTGGATTTATGTCCATTGCTGGAATTCTACCTGACGCCGTCCTTCTGACATTTGTCGTCATACAATGGTCCTTCCGTCCTTCCGACCTCTGTAGCCCGCCGACTACGTTTCTTCTAACTTACATCGCTCAACGACTACAGTCCTTCGAACCTCCGTCGCCCACCGACTACGGTCCTTCTGACTTACGTCGTCCACTGACTACAGTCCTTCCGACCTCCGTCGCTCGCCGACTACGGTCCTTCCGACTTACGTCGCCCATCGACTACGGTCATTCCAACCTCCGTCGCCTGCCTACTACGATCCTTTTGACTTACATCGCCCACCGACTACAGCCCGCCCGACCAAACAAATACATCAACAATGATTCTTTGTATTCACATTATGTAATGTACTCTATAAGATGTACATCAAGCTAAGGCCTTCCTCCAAGGAAGGGACTCATTTGTAATCGACTGCGAATAATAGTGGATTCATTCAAACTGGGCTAGGCCCCGTGATTTTTCCCCATTTTCAAGGGTTTTCCACATAAAAATATTAGTGTCTCTCATAAATGCTACACCCTCTCTTTTTATCTGTGTGCGTACTGGATTTTCGTATAACGCTAAGACGCTAAATTTTATATTTCTCTATCGCCGCAAATACTCCTGGATGCAAGAAGCTTATTAGAATAAATAATTTTAACATAATAAATTCCCTTCTCCATGAGACTTTATTAAGAACAAATGATCTAAAGTGCGAAAGATCAGGGACGAAAGTGTGAGGAAGGAAATAAAAAAATTTATTACTTATTGCAATTATATTTTTTATCTGGAACTGACTTAGTTAACGATAAATTAAAAAAACGAGGGTATTTTAAATATTAAAACTTAAAGTCCACGGTGCTCTAACCGGCGACACAGTCAATTTAGACGGAATCAACAGTGAACTTTCAACATTTCTCTCATTCTCAACGCCTCAAAATCAGCTGTCAAAAATGTCGCCTTTATCTCTCCGTTCCCCTGACGCAGAGAAGTTTCACTTATCGCCCGACTTTAGAGACCACGACTGCTCTTATTCTCTGCAACTCATCCTATATAAGGAAGACATAAATCCATGGCCTTTCAAACCATCACACCCAAGTGGCAACTTAAAAGAATAAGAAGAAGAAGATTTTGTGTTTGGTTTACAATGTTAGAAGGGGGCATCATCAATATTTGATGATATTATATCTGAGTTGAAGGTCAAAATAAATAGCGTATAAAATCTTGTTCTCATTATATTGAATTAGCTTTTTATTTATTTATTTTTTTTTTTTTAGAACGGGAAAAGTTCGATATATTGAGCCATCTTGATGCATATGAAGACACTGCACACCTCAACAAGATAGTTAGTAGCCTTATCACGATTGTCTGTGATCCAATAGATGAATTTCCCTTCATTCATTCACAGTAAGTGTTCCATGAGGTGTTCAATTTATTTTGATCAAATTTTAGTGGACAAAACTCTAATAATATTACATTCGATCAACTATTTTTCATTTATAATCTCATAAATATTCTATATGATAGTCTTACCGCTACATTTTCTACACTCCAACGTACATAATCAGATCAAATAAATTTATTTTCTATTAACGTTATCTATATATTTTTCTTAAAATTATCATTTCTATAGCTCTCCTTATCTATCAAACTTCTTTATAGCTCAACAACAACAAGAAGTCTTTGTCCCACTACGTAGGGTCAACTACATGAATCCTTTTTCGCCAGTGTCCTGTTAAAAGTCTAATAAAGAAAGATCATTTCTAATATTTTCTAACCAAGTCTTTTTAGGTCTACCTCTATCTTTCTTAACATAAGTCAAATCTAATACATCAACTTTCTTAACCGGGTCATCGAAAATTCGAAATGCCTCTGTTTAAAGTGACCAAACCATCTAAGGCGATTCTCTCTAATCTTATCTTCCACTGGAGCTACTCCAAACTTCTTTATAGCTCAATGCTCAAAAAATATATATATAGCATAGTCAGGCTAAATAGTCAGGCTAAATAGTATACATTGAACTGGTTACTCTCGTTTTTGCTGCTCTTATGATTATGCCACACTATTGTGCTAGACCTACTGTATAAAATGTCAATGCTTAACCCTAGACAAGTGAATTGAGGTTAGCAGCTATGAACACCTACAAAAGCCAATTCCATTAAGATCAGCTTGTTATTAGCTCAATGCATGAAAGTATAACTATACATGCAAATTTGTATACAAAAAGTTCGATTTTCTTTGTAAGTTTTATAATTAAAATCCATCAACTACTCCAAAAATTATGATCAACATCTATGTTACAGGTTGCACAAAAGATGCCCTACAGAATCATTTTTTTTTTTCTTAAATCCAAAGCCATCAAATAATAAATTATCGATACATTTGATAGTCCTCAGCTTGGATTGTTATTTGTGTTCGGCTCGATAATAAAGAAGCTGAAAACAAACAAAATCTAACTTCTTAAGGAACCAGAACTTGAACTAGCCAAACATGACACTAGGTCAGTCATGGTTGCCTTTGCCTCGTTATATATGTATATTTGAAGTTAGAGAGAAAAGTCAAAATGATCATCCATAGGCTATTTGTATAGAGCCATTTTACTCTTACCTACTTAACATGTTCAATTTAATTCTTAAACTCCTCATATAAAATCCCATATAGTTCTTTTTGTTGAAATATTTTGGATCAAATTTAAGACATCAAGAAAGTATTTTAGATTAAATTTGAGTAGTTAGTGGATTAAATTGGACATTTGATAATCTCAGATTAAAACAACACTCTATAAATAATCTAGAGATCATTTTGACCTCTCTCTATTTTAAGTTAAATGCCTAACAAGCATATCTTTTTTTTTCCCTTCATCACAATGTGTATGTTTGTTAAAGTTGGTAGAGAGATTACTACAAGTACATATACTGGTAAAGGCCCCAAGGCGTCCAGTTCCTTCGGCGACTTGCACCGTCATCATAGGCTTAAGAGCTCATGTTGACGGCCACAAATACAGATACTTATGGTACAAATAGTCAATAGCTTAGAGTTGATTTTAGAGTAAAAGGGCTAACATAAATCTACTCAAAATTATCTCAGCAAGAATATGCAAATGATCAGGAAGAAAGCAAACCTGATGAAGTAGGAGCCAATCAATGCTAGCAAAAGTGAGGCCAGCTTCCTCAAGCGCAAACTCAATGGACTGAGGCACACAGCGGACAGCAAAGCGGAAAACCTCTTTGCCATTCATTTGTATGCACGAATAGGTTGCTTTTCTTGGGGGAAATACCGCCGCACCATTTGTGTTTAAGATGGTGTCTGTTTCACTGTCCTTGGTTGGGGCGTTTAAGTGTCTGAAAATTGAAGTGATAAAGAGCATCAGGTGGGAATCACATGGGAAGCTTTGAAGAGGTAAATAAATACCTTTGACCGTGGCCATCACTGTGCAAATCAAACCCGAGTAATCCATCTTCATCCGCACTGCAGGCCTGAAAAGGCGACGATTACGAATCAGAAGCAATTTACATTTTAGGAGAAAGGAAGCTAAATTTGTAGAGAAGCATGAACTATTCGTTGATAAAAGCTTTATTATTTCATTCTTGCTGAGAGGTGGGATCAGATAATCATGATGTGAGCATTGCAAGGAAGATGAAACTACCAATAACTTTATCAAACCAATGTATTGATGGTTCTAAGGCTTCGTTTGGGACTGGTTGTTCTAAGGCTGTTGCAGATTGCTACTTTAAAAAGCAGTAAGAAAGCCATCCCAAACGAAGCCTAAGAGTGGAACTCACCATCATATTTAGTTCTCTTCTTACTTTTGCCACACTTTTATTGTAGCATTCCCATTACCGAAATGATCAACTTAATTATCATCCACACTTTTTATTGTCTAACTCTTAAATCCACAAAACATAGTCGGTCTTATTATCATAACATAGGGTAATAAAGAGATTCCAACAACATTATAATAAATTCAGGTATATTACAACCCAAGAACAACAAATTGACTGACAAATGATGAACAAAAAAAATTGAAGCAGCGCATATTATACTGTGCTAATCGAGAGAAAGGTAAATACTTGCACAAGCACCGCACCAGCAGCATCTCCAAAAAGAATGCAGGTGCCTCTATCCTTCCAGTCCACATATCGTGAAAGAGCATCTGCTCCAATTACAAGAATATTCTTGTAACCACCACCTATAGTTGGAGTAACCAATTCATCTCAAACAGAGTACAATAAAAAGAAAATCTCATTGTCAAGAAAATTTATATTTAATACCTTTAATAAAACGAGTGGCAGTGATTAGTCCAACAACAAAACCACTGCAAGCAGCCGTAATATCAAATGCCCAAGCATTTCTGCAACCTAAATCACTCTGAATCTGGAACAGGACAGATCAACCAGAAATTACTACAACTATATATATTGACCACACAAAATAAATATTTAGCAAATCTATCACTAGTTCAGAAAATTAAGTCCGAAAGGAAAAATATTTCTTATGAGTCTTGAATAATGTTAGCAAGAGAATTAGTATAATGTACATAGCACAAGCTATAATCATTCCTTGGGTGTAATCATGAATGTGGATGTTTGCCATACTTGTCAATGGCAAATGACATAAACGGCGCAAAATTCTTCATGGATCCATGGTGCATAGTGCACGGCACAGAGCGTGTCATTTTAAACATGACACACAATATAAAATAATTATATATATATATTAACATTAAATAAAAAACAATAGGTTGATTTTAGATAAATTTAAATATAAATATTCTGCCAAACAACAAAATTGACAACTTTAAATCCTACAGAAACTTACATCGATAGGTTTGAGTAATATTTAAGCATAATTTAGCCTAAATAATGCCAAATAGCATAAATGACAACTTTAAGTCCTACCAAAAGTTAAATCATGTTCCTTTTTCATTTTAATTTAATGCAATTTAACCGGAGAAGCCTGTGAAAGGAAAAAGGTGATAGTTACATCAATAGATTTGAGTAATATTTTTATAGTGCAATCTTGCAAAGCATGAAATATTGTTCAAGCAAAGCAATTCCTAACCCAATGGGATCAGAGTATACAAGCACGTCCAAGACATTAAAAAAATAAAATAAAAAATAAAAAAAAGCACGTTCAAGACATTAAAAACAACTACTTTGAGTCCACTGGAATGTGTAAGAAAGCATTCCTGAGTGTGTGTACGTATAAGTGAAGTGCATTTTTTTAAAGAGACCAGATGTAGCATGTGCTCAATGAATCTTTAGCAGTCACCAGCATGATTATGTCTACCAGCAAATGCCATGCAAGCCAGTCATTGCATGCTATGCCCAACACAGAAGCATAATGGAAATTTGAAAATGTATTTTTGTAGCAAATCAATATTCTAAGTTTTAACATCTACTTTAATTGTTTTATTTCAGAGGTATTAATTTAAAATGCCTAAGAGAATGGGATATATTCTCTAGTGTTCTTTGATGAGTCAGGTTGTAAGTGTTTTAATTCAGTTCTTGTTGAATTTCCTAGTTCAGCACTTCTGATTCCCTGTTCCTTTATAGCCTCAACCTCGATTGATAGTTCATTTTGCTATCAATGTGGCTGCTCCATTTTTTCCTTCCCAAATACTGCACTTAAGCACAATTCAGCTCCTACTTGCAGTTGCCCATGGTGTTGCTTGTCATGAATTGCTTACGGATTGGCCTGTAATTCACGTGCTCTTATATTAGAAACCTGGCATGTGCTGGATTAGATGGGTTACTGTAGCCAGGATTGCGCTATTCACTATATCTCTCTACTTTTTTTTTTTTTTTTTTGTCGACCGTTCTTCATTGCAGTTATTCCCATCTGGCACTAAATTGGATTATGGGTGTTGTGAGTTCTCTGATTTTGGTCAGTGTGAATCTGCAGCAATTTTAGCTATTACGAATGAAAGTTTTGGGTCTTCTAGGTTATAGTTGAACAGCTGAAGTCAAGCATCTGAAGTTGCTTCTTTCAGTGTAATTCAAGATTGCTGAAGTCATTTTTAGCAATTTCTGGCCAGATATTACAAGATACTAAGAAATAATTAAGTTTTAGTCTGTTGAAGTTATAAATAGGACATCTGAGGCATGATTTTTAACATGAATTACTTAATAAAAGTTCATGCTTTACTCTCAAATTCTTAATTGAGCCTGTTGATTATGACATGATTTCACATAACTCATTGGAGGTGAAAGCATTTGGAGCCAAAGGGAAGCACCATTCAGTTACACGCTCAATCTGCAACAGCCTACTTTGGTCGAGTTATCGAAACTAGTCAATATTCATATTAATGCCTATGAATAAAACAGTGTATCATTTGTATTAACCTTTAGTAAGCCACACGAATTTGGTCCGATAAGGAATTGCAAGCAATTTCCTAAGAAACAACAAGGCCGCCCTAGGAATCACAAGTCGGGTGAGATACCGCTCTACTAGCATCCACAACAATAACACCATCGACTACAATTGCAAGACAATCTCCCTGAAAGGCCCAAGTAAATTGTCAGGAATTTTGAAGCAACAAGAAGGGAAAGGTTGCTCTACCATATTCACTCCTCTAAGAGCATCGATGGCTGAAATTATGGAAATCATTTGAAATAAGAACTATTTATGCCAACCCACACCAATGAGTGTCGATGCTCACACCGAGATCTAACAAAGCACTTTGCTTTACATAATGACTATATACACAATATGGAGGACATTCGACACCTTTGAAATTTGATTGAAAAACTAATCAAGGCAGGCAAGCTAAAGAAATTCATCTTGTTTGAGCTAGGGAGAAGAGTTAGCAAGGCATATGTAAAAGCGCAGTGAGATGAACCAATCCCAGCTCAGGCAATTCATATAATTGAGGTGGTTCCAACAACATTGGGGGAGCAACGGTAGAAGCTTCCTGCTAAGCAAGCCTCAAATGACTTCGGTTGGAAATAGGTCAGCTCAATCAATACATCCAATACTCCTATTACTAAAGTAGTCCCTATCACTTTTTATGAAGCAAACATGCTAGCGACCCTTTAGTTTATGGCACAGTACTGGGCTACTTTTTATAGTAATTGCATTGCCAATTTGTTAGACCGGTCCAGCCGGTCCGCACGGTACCGGCATTTCGCAATTGACGCAGGGATCTCCGCCTCCTGCGGAGATCGGGCAGCCCGACCTCCCAAGCAGAGCGTTTTAGGAAGGATTTTTTGGGGATTAAGAGAGAAATTTGAATGTTGGGACTGTTTAGGGATTTCCTTTTGATTTGTATACATTAAATACTTTGTTTTCCTAAGGTTAGGGCATCTTGAATTTGGTTGAAATTTGAGATCTCCTAGATTTAGGTTTTCTTTGGGCTCTAGTGGCGTCTAGAGATTTGAGAGAGATCGATCCTCCTCTCGAATTGAGGATCAAGTGTATCTTGCTATTTTTCGTGTTCCTTTCATCAAATAATACAAATTATCTACTGTTTTTGTGATTTTGTGCGGATTTTTGTGAAGAATTCTCGTTGTTTTTCGAAGATTGATAGAAAATACTTGAGATATACAAGTGTTTCCTATCAAATTGGTATCAGAGCAAGTCTTGGGACCGTTCATGGGCTGATTTTGGCGAAGTGCGGCGGCTGATTTTTGGTCGGGAAGAAACGAAGTGCTGTTTTTGTATTCCAAATCTGGGACATGATGAAGAAAATGTTGTAAATCCACAACCAAACGACGGCTTCTGTGGCAAAAGAGAAGGAAAGAAAAAATACGAATTCTGAAATTCGTAGGGAGGAAGATGAGATGAAAATCGGGGAAGGGGAAGGAAGAAGACCCCATCTGGAGCCTGTCCAGAAGGAAGAAAGAGGAGGTTATGGGGAACGCCAAGAGGAATACTACGACCGCCGTGGTGCTGATTTTGAAGACAGAAGGGGGGATTTCGAAGGGAGTTTGGGCTATGGCAGAGTAAGGGAAGAGCGGGACACATGGGGTGGACCGAGCACTTAGAAAAGGGGAAGTTATGGAAAAATCAGGGGAAATGGTGGTGACCAGAAGGTGAGAAAGTTGAAGATGCCCATCTTCGAAGGAGAATATGCGTATGGATGGATTTACAAGGTAGAGCGGTATTTTGCCGTCAATGGGTTGACGGAGGAGGAGAATCTGACAGTAGCAGGATTGTGCTTGGAAGGGAAAGCCTTATCGCGGTTTCAGTGGAGAGATCAACGGAGGCTGATCAGGAACTGGAGGGAATTTAAAGACTGCATAATAGAGTGTTTCCAAACCAATCAGGGAGGAGATTTCTATGAGCAGTTCTTTGCTTTGACACAGGAGGGATCAGTAGCAGATTACCGGGAGCAGTTTGAGCAACTAGCTAGCAGGGTGGAGCGACTCTCAGATACAGTGTTGGAGGGGAATTTCATGAAAGGGTTGAAGGCAGAAATCCAAGCGGCAGTGAAAGTTCTGATGCCTAGTGACTTGGGGGAGGCCATGAAATTGGCACAGCTGGTGGAAAATTAGAAAAATCTGGAGAAGGGAGCCAGGAACAGCAGCTCAGGAGGCTCTTACAAGACTACGATCACTCTTCTAGCACCCAAGGGGCCTGCCTCAAGCAACATTAATGAGACCGCCAGGGAGAAGCCAGTAGAAGGAGGGAGTGGAAAAAATTTCAAGAGGCTGACAGAGAAGGATATGCAGGAGAAGAGGGCCAAGGGATTGTGTTTCAGGTACGAGGAGAAGTATACGTTAGGGCATCAGTGCAATGACCGAACTCTTCAGGTTCTCACCGTTTACGATGACAAGAAAACTGAAGATGGAGGTGAGGAGGAGACCGAGGAGGAGATGGAGGAGAAGCTACACTTGGATCTGGTTGATGTTTCCCTGAACTCAGTGGTATGATTCACTACGAATCATACCATGAAGGTGAAGGGGGAGATAGAGGACAGGGAGGTGGTTGTGCTAATTGATACTGGAGCTACCCACAATTTCATTTCCACTCTGGTCGTCGACCAATTGGGAGTGAAATTGGTGGACACCGGTTGTTATGGAGTGATGATGGGTACAGGAAAGGTGGAGAAAGGCCAGGGGATCTGTAGAGGAGTGATGTTGACCATCCAGGGGATTCAGGTAAGGGAGGATTTTCTTCCACTATAATTAGGAAGTACTTATGTCATCTTGGGAATGAAGTTGTTGCAAACCTTAGGGGAAACCAAGGACAATTGTGGAGCACTCACGATGGAATGATGGATGGGAGAAAGGTGGTTATAAGGGGAGATGCAGGGCTATCCAAAGCCATGGTATCACTTAAGACTATGGTTAGGGGCCTTCAAGAGGTGGGGAAAGATTATCTGGTGGGACTACACAGGTTGGATGCGATCAGATTGGAGGAGTGAGGGGATG